TCACCCCTGGCTTCCCTGGGCGCCTCGCCCTCCACTCCTTGCTTCTTTCTCTTCTTTGACCTTTTTCACCGGCAAGTGTCCCCGTGGCTCCCCGGCCACTGCCCAGGCGCAAGTTCTGGGTTCTCCTGTGGGCTGTGCATACTCAAAATCTCATCCCTCTGGGGCCTCAGTGTTCTCACCCGTGACGTGGGACAGCAGACAGGATCTGCATTGCTGGGTTGTTGTGAGTTCCGGGGAGAGAGAGAGAGAGAGAGAGAGAGAGAAAGCCAGTCTGGTTCCCGGGAGATGGGGCACTCCCGGCCGGGGCTCCTGTAGCTCCCCCACTGGGACCGCCTTTCCCCTAGCCATCCAGTGTCCAGTCCAGAGTTAACCTCCACTCCCCAAGCGCCCCTGATCCCGCCCTCCGGGCTGTGAGCTCTGGAGTGGCAGGGGTAGGGTCTGGGGCCCCTGATCCCTGGCCTGCTCGAAGGCGCTGGGCCGGTGATGTCCACGTGCCGCTGCTGCGGGGCCAGCGAAGGGTGCTGCTGGGCCTGACAGGCGGGGGGCGGCAGAGGGGGCTTGTTGGCGGAGAGGGGGTCTGCAGCTCCCGTCCTTGCCCTGGTGTTCTGGGAGCCCTGGGCAGTCCCGAGGACAGGGAGGAAGAAGAACAAAGAATCTGGGTGAGGCACTAAGGCTCAGGAAGGGAGCAGAAAGGCCACCTGCCGGCGGAGAGCCCACCCGCGGGCAGCGTGGGTTATCAGGGCCGCCGGGCTGGGTGTGTCCTGGTGCGGGAGAGACTCCAGTTCCAGCCCAGCCTTTCCCATGAGCCCCTGGTGGACGAGAGCCGGGCCGGGCTGGCGCCTGCTGGGTACTGGGCGCCGTCACCGACCTCCGGAACCTCTCCCAGGGAGACGCGGGTTCCCTGTTTTCGGGTTGTGGGAGGGAGGTTCTGAGGGATGAGCTTTGCTTCTGGAGGTCTCACCTCTCTGGGGGGAGCCTGGGAAATGTGCAGGAGCCCCCCCGGGGAAGCTCCGTGTGCCTCCCACACCCTGCTCCCCGGGCTACCTGGGCTGGGCTACAGCGCCCCCCCCCCCCCGGGCGTGGTGGGCACTGCACAGGGTGGTGGTCTTCTGCCTCAGTTGCTCTCATTTCTCCCAGGCCTCCCTGTTTCGCTGGCTCCCAGTAGACCAGGGTCTGAACCTCAGCCCTGCACCGTCCTGACTGCTGGTGTCAGCTCTCAGGTGCCCATGCAGGCTCCCGCTTCCGAATCCTGTGCCCCCACTCCCCGTGCCACGCCCTGCGGCGGTTACCTCCCTGACTCCAGCTGGCCTGTCCAAGGGCGGCAGGGTCAGGTATAGGACGAGAGTCCCTGCTGTGTGGGCGGCAGCAGCCGGTGCAGCCTGAGGGCCCTGGCGGTGAATGGGCCTCCCGGCCCTGTCTGGTGCACAGTGGTCAGCCCCTGACTCAGGCCGGGGCCCTGGGGGAGGGCAGAGGCCTTGCTGGCGCAAGGAGGCTTCCTGAAAGCTGAGCGTGTTGGGGAATTAGTCAGGTTGCTGTTCTGGTAGGATGTGGTGATTGCGGGAAGCATGGGCTGTGCCCTGGAGCTCGCGGGCAGGGCTGGGAACAGGTGGGTAAGGGCCTGGACCGCCCACTCCCCCTGCCCGTGGGCCAGGAGCAGGGCCCCTGCAGCCCACTGGGGTCCAGGAGCTGGGGAGCTGCAGAGAGGAAGACAGGAGCTGGGGAAGCTCCCACAGCCCCGCGGGCGGCCACTGGTCACCGCCCCCCAGCACGCACACAGGCCCTCCAGCCAGCCCATCTAGCCTTTCACTGCGGGAGCGTGCAAGACCCCCCTTGCTGACAAAGAGCCCCCACATCACTGTCCCTCCCTGCACCCAAAGACCTCCCCAGCACCCCCCTCCCTGCCCAAAAGAGCCCCCCACTTTCCCCTTCCCGACCCCAAAGACCCCCCCTACCCTCTCTCCTATTTGGCCACCCGACCCCCCCCACCCCTGCCCCCCATTACACCAAAGCCTTGCCATTCTTGGCCCAGCTAGAACCGAACAACACAGTCCTTCCCTCCCCCAATA